CTTTTCATACAGGCTGGAGTATCGTTCCAGGTACTACCACCAATAGACTACGCTGTTGACTACACAGTTTTTCCTTTAGAACGTTTTTCACTAAGCTAAAAACTTTATTCTTTATTATTAGAGATCGTTATGCTTAAATACAAGATTATCTCCGGATATATTATTACCCAGATCACACACATTATGCATTACATACTATTAGACTATAAATTACTTTTATGCATCTACTAATTCGATGATCACACAATTCATGCAGATCCGAATCATGCCACTTATACACCCTGATCCTAATCCAGCACCATAAAATTCCAGAATACCAAATTAACTCGTGACATGAGCTAGATCTCCTGGAACTTCGTCTCTGAAGTTTCAACCCTTGCAAAACTATACTATTAACACAAAATATTCCATTCACAATACCTTACTCAACTATCAAACCTAATGCTACCTAAATATACTAATAAATGCAATATATTGTTCAATTAATATATAAAAAAAATTTTTTTTTTTTTTCTCAAACATTTCCACAGCATTACCATACTCGCAAGTTCAAATGTCCAAGCTTGCGCATTTTAATCTAGTTTTCAAACAGCGTATATTCCAACCTATCACGTTCGATTACATGATCCAGGTAAAGTCAGCTATAAAATTCTCTTTTCCTTATTCGATTCAACATGTTCAATACCATCATTGAATTTCTGGCACAAGGTTTTTGCGCCCTAGACATGCCAATTTTATCCCATTCATGCTTGACATTACAACAGAACCTAGACAATGATCCATAGTTCAACCCTTTTCTCACTTTCATACCATCATTCACAGATCTGGATGTTTGTAGCATATCTTTTGCATCTTCAACATCACCTTCGGTTTGATCAGCACTGAGATCTTTAATTTTAACTGGACTTTTGGCTGCACCATTAATCAGAAGCATCTTTATTTCAAGATTAGTATTTGGCTTATTTTCATTGATCCCATCTCCAAGGCTGGATTGCTCATTTGAATTGTCAGACCTTTCCT